TCGGCCTGTCGCTGTGGGAGATGCGATCTCCGCCGTGACTTCTTCCTGCCCTCGCTACGGCCTGCAAGGAAGGAGACGGGGAGAGTAACAGCTGCGTGGCGGCACTGGTTGTGAAGCGTCCGTGTAACGTTTTCCAGGGCCTGCGTGATTTTTTCTTGTCCTCCACCTGTTAAGGAAATCCGTGAACTTTGTGATATCAGCCAGTAAAAAAGTCTACAGGAACTTCATGTGTGCAGACTCAAACTGGCCTCTTTTTCTCCCTCTTTCCCCTCTCCGCCTGAAAGTGAGGCGTTTTGGCATGACAGGGGAAAGAGCCATGTGTGACGGTGACACTTAGCATCATGCTGGCTCCGGATGCGTCACGCCTGCCTGCCTCTTGTTGTGCTGAGTGGCCAGGAGTTTGTCAAGAAGCACTTTCTTTTGCTTCTGTGCCGTACTGGAACAGGCAGCCCCGACCTGACATTTTGAATTTAGCTTTTGTATAAATACTGCCATTGGGTCTAATATCCTGTCCTGCTTTTCAAAAGCAAACAACTAGATCCTTTTTTGAACTGTTGTCTCTAGAGATGGGTACACATACTTTTATATTCTTATGCTTAGAAGACACCCCTGATGGAAGACTTTCTGGTGAGAGTTTTTGACATAAGTGTTTTACAAGCGGAACTGAAAAAGGTGTTATTTAAAGTTCTTGGAGTAGGAACCTCTGCAGGGACGGGATGGCTGTGAGCATGGATGATGACGTTCCCCTCATCCTCACCCTGGATGACAGTGGAAGCAGCACCTCGGCTCCTCTAGATGACCTGGATCAGGAGGAGCTGCCTAACGAAAGTAAGATTGCTTTGTTGTTGTTTCCTGCCCACTGTGATGGCCTCCCTTGTTTTTCTCTTTGCGGTCGCTGCTCTTCCTTGCGCTTGCCAGGACCTGAAACTCTCAGAGCTGTCATTCAGTGTCCCAGCGGCTTCCTGAGAAAATCAGATCAGGAAGTTGCTTATTGTGTTGCTTGTTTACTCACAGCACCCATATTACACCGAGAGGGTAGGGGGCACTGGATGGACGGGTCCTACCGATGCCGTTTCTAATATGCATTCTTTGTGGTTTCCGTGTAATAACCTGTGACCTTGTTGTCCTTTAGCTCGGCTCTCCTTTCCTGTACGTTGGCCCAGAGCGTCTCCTTTTCTTGGCACTAACCTGCCGTGCCGTACCACTGTCCTGAGCTGTCAGGTGCAGCAGCTGCAATTATGCCATGTAGTATTTTCCTAGCACCATAAAGCATCTGTCCTTTACAACTGTTGTTTTGCCTATTTCTAGTTTACATCCTGATTTTTGCAATAAGGAGTGATATGTGTTGATAAATCCCTTTAACATCTTTATTGTATTCTTATCAAAGAACCTGGAGTACTTTTAGACAATATATTCATACTCCTGTTAGCCCCCAGATATTCAGTGTGACAGAGCCAGCCTATGAGCATTGGGAGAGGGGAAAACAAAAGCCACAACCTCTTAGAAGCATTGCTTTCTTCTCGGTATATCTTTGTTAAAGCCGTCGCCCCGCAGTAGGCGAGATGGGAACAGCAGATGTGTTTGAACATGTTCAGTGAGTTTCTCTTTTATGTTATACCTCACTGAATGTATTTGAGCAGTTTTGTTCAAGACATCTCTGTGACTTCCAGTTGACATTGCAGGTGTTTGCACAGGTCATAGGAGCCTATTCAAGCCCTTGCTGCCACAAGCTTAACATTTGTAACAAATAAACTGTCTCCTGACCTCACATCCCTTTTTTCTCTGTTATTCTCTATTCCATACTGCCTTTATGACTCTGTGATTTGATCTCTCTTGCAATCCCTTAATTTTCTCTTTCTGTGACTTCCTGAGCCAGTAGCTGGTTTCTGACAAGCAAGATTCCTGCTCCCTCCTCCTCTCCCACCCCTGCAACATACATCCCTGGCTAAATTGCCCAGTTGACTTTCTCTAAGCTCTGCTGAGTTGTTGCTCCATCGTATCTGCTCTATTGCATCTGTTTGTCTTTTAAAGTTTATCTCTCTATTTTTAAGTCAAATACAAGAGAGAATGGCTTCCTCTGTCCACTGGTGTATTTATAGGCGTTCTTGTGACTAATTTTAATCACTCTTCTCTCATCTTTTTTCTTCCACCTGCCTCCCATCCCTTTAAAAGAAGTTGTCTGAGGTTTATCATTTGGTTAAAGCCAACAGGACTGTGTTAAAGCACAAGCATGAGAATGAACGTATTAATAAATAAAAATATTCCACAGTCTGCTTCCCTTGAAATACAGGGAAATTGTTTAGGGACCAATTTTGTCCTTCTTAAAAGATCGCTGTGTGGTTTTTGAGAATTCATTTCCTAGAATTCTTCGAATGAAGTGTCTCTTGGTATTGAAGAACCGTTATTTTGCTATATGTTTTAATCACTGTTAAAGTTGAATTTGCTGAAAAAATATAAAGCTTATTCTATGCAAGTGAGAATGATACGGAGCCTTCTGAAGTCAGTGGGTACTGCAAGAGTGGGATGAAAGATTAGAAGAGGAAGGCTGGCATAAACAACTTGAAAGGCACATTTATCTCGGAGAGGCGGGAAGCTTAAATTAGTGAGTGAGCAGACTAACGCCATGACTTGCAAAAGTAAGCTCGTTTAAAAACCAGAACATGTAGTCCAGCTTTCCTCTTTGCCTGTGAAGAAAATCTACTGTGAAATGCAGAAAAGTTGTGTCTTCTGGAGGCTGTGAGGAATTCAGATGTTTCCCCTCTGCTCTGCCTCCACTTCTCTGCTGAGGACTGAAATGACATTAACAGAACTGTATAATTTCATGTTTTTATTCAGAGACTTGTCTTTTTCAGGGGAAAAGTGGTATGTGAAAAATCCTCCTCAGGAGAGGGAGAGCCTGCCAGGGCAGTGATGAGGGCATGGGGACAGGGAAGGTCAGGAGGCTGTTTCCTTCTGGTTTGTATGCCTAAACTCTCGTAACAGAATATTCAGGTAGAATTTGGAGGAATAGCTCACTTGTTACTCTGCCTGACCATCAACTCGTAGGGATCTGGTGGCAGGTTGAACACCAAGCTTTTACTTAAGTGTGTCCCCAGATACCAGCTGGGACTGTTAGCAGTGAAGGACCCATCATTCTCTTCTCAGGTGACACCAAGGGAAAGGCGAAGTGGGTGTAACTGCCCTTACGCTAAATCACGCATCAGAGGCTGATCATAATTAAATTGCACTCTAGTTCTGTGTTGCTGTGTCACGAACCTCTCTAAATTGTAATCTGTATTCCAGCTTCACAACCGTTTCTCACTAAGCACTGCGTATCTCTGTGGTTTCAGTGCATCAACTCTCATGTTTTTTAAGGAACTTCTTGCGCTTTTTTAAAAAAAAAAAATAACTTGATCCATGAGGTGATTTTGTTGCAACCAGGTCCTTGGACAAATGAATTTGTGGTTTTGGACTCTTGGTGTCGATTTTCTGGAAGTGCTGACAAAATACTGGGTTGAAATAAGTAGTAACAGCGTTTTCTGAAAGCAAGCCTGTTGCAGATGGAAGAAGGACTAAAGCGCAAGAGTATATTCCCTTCCAAATCTTGCAGAAGAGTCCTCTTCTGGGTAAGTGAATGCCTTGGGGTTAGAATAAAAGAAAGCTAAATGAGAAAACTGCGTGGAAAATTACATTCTTAAAGAAAATGTCCAGCTGCAAAAATTAATCTCCCTAATCATACAGCTCTTAAGCACTTAATGGGAGAAAATATTTGCATGGGGAGGAATATTAAAACTCTGCCTTCCTTGGCTTGTGCTGGGACACACGTCTTCCAGGGAGCTCCCATTTACAGCCACGGTGAAAGGTCAGAATCCTGCAAAGTTGACGGAATTCAGACTACATCCAGAAAAATGTGGTCCCTGTGGTACTGATGGTTTTCTGACTACAACACGTAGGACTGTGGTGCTGGGTAATTTTTCTCTCAAGCTCCAGCAGCTGAAGGAGAGAGAGAGAAGAGATTTCGTCACTTGAATCCACGCTAATTAATATGATGCTGCCGTTCCCTGGTACACCTTATCTGAGAATCTCTGAGTACTGTGTACATACTCTAATTACGCTTCCCAGCACCTATCTGAGGTGAATGACTAATATTAACTGAATTTCTGTAGAAGATGAAAATGGGGGTGCAATCCTTGCATGACCTTTCCCAAAATTGTGTGCTGAAAGTGGTGAGAAGCAGCTGGGGTTTAGTGATTTCCCATCCCTCACCTGAACTCCTGGGAAGTGTTTGAGCAGGGTTCTCAAAATATCTCAGAGTGTGAGGTGTGTTTTCTGCATACAAAGGCAGCGTGGATAGCCTTGAAACTCTAGGACAGTGTCTCTCCTTGAGCTGATGGGAACTATAAGCAATAAATGAGTGCACATTGATTTATCCTGTATTAGATCAGATGATACAAGATTCTCCTTTGCCTCCTGCATGGAAATTGCTGTAGCCTCGAGTGGAGTTTCAGTGTGTTCAGAGCAGAATGTACAGCTCAAAGTGTTGTACAGGGAACAATATGATATTGTATGTCTGTTTCTCCCACACAATGGATTATGGCAAGTGGAAGAAGTCATCTTTAAACTCTGGGTTTTTACAAGAAAGCAACTGCATCTGCTATTGAGGTAAAAATCAATTATTGTGTATGTGTGGGGAGGTGGGGGGAGCAACTGCAACAGCCAAGTGCGATGTTTTTCTAGAAGGATTGTTGGGAAATGGGAAGTTACAACTTTGAATGTTGAGGTTTCAGCTGAGCCTTTGCTTTGGTTTCTGCTGCCTAAAGAGTAAATTGTTGGGAAAACTAGAGCCAGCCTGGCCTTTTGGGTAGAAAGAAAATTGTTGATTAATGTGCCTGTGCACTGCTGTGAAGGAGAAGGTGGCCCAAAGTGTGTAAAGAAAATGTCATTTCACTGTTGATGAAGTTGGAGGGGCTGTCCAAGGCGTGCTTGGTGAGGAATGTGACTTTGGCCAAGGAAAGCAGTGACGGTCTCTGAGACTGTTGGTTGTGCCTCTAAAATGGAGTGCAGTGTGTGCCGTGCTTCCTGGAGCTGCTGGAAGGAGGGCCTCTTCCCTTGCCTTGCTTCTGCACGTCGGCCCAGTTCCGTGATGAAATGCATGAAGAGGCTTTCAGCAAAGCTGTTCTTTTTGTAACTGGCTGATGGAAACTCATGCGATGTTTCTGAACACAGAGTCTAATTACAGCATTAATGGATGTTGTATACAACAAACTCGTCTTTTTTTTTAAAAATTCTTTTACTAATCCACAGGTAGACATATGCATTTGGGGGTGGCCCAGGATTAGGGGCACTTAATGTTGTTCTTTTGAGACATATGAGCCGCCTGGATTTTGATGGGTTTGGTAACCCACACGACCTGAAGTAATATAATTCTCTTCTGTGTTGGATCTGGTTCCAGAACGCATTTGTATCAGCAGCGAGAGATAGTAAGTCTGTTCGCATAGTCCACAGCTTCAGCTCGTCTGGTCAACGAGTCCCTGCTCGTCAGACATCTCTGCCTCCTTCCTACTGCTGCTTCCTGTAGTGCCGTCCGTGGATGAAAGAGTAAAACACGTGTAAAACAAGTGTACGTTTTCTGATGGGCTGAGGGAACAAACCGAGAATAAATACCTGACCTTTGGGGAAATGCTGTAACCATGCAAACTGTTAGTAGCTGTGCTTCTTGAGGAACCACTTTAATTGCTGTGGATGCCTTCTGGCTTTGCTACCTTCGGAGGAAAATAGGCATTTTAAATATCAGTCAGCTAGTAGATTTATTAAATCTTTCAGGATCTGTAGGTTTTGATCCTTATGTG